CGCGGCGGGCAGCCCCGTGGCCAGGGTCATGAAGCCGATCACCCGGAAGGTCCAGGCGGTGCCGACGCTATTGAGCAGGGCGTTGATGAGGAAGCTGAGCGCGGTGCCGCCGAGGCCGCCGGCCGCGTAGACGATGCCGTTGGCAGTGCCGCGCTTGGCCTTGAAGTACTGCGCGGGGATCGTCGAGACGACCATGAAACACATACTAAAACCGATCAGCTATCGCATCGCCATACATTTCATTCCGTCAAAGATGGGAATACCAACCTAATCCCCACCCCAAACACGACCCCCTGCGTGACAAACAGCCCCTCCACACTGCGGTACGAGAACCCGCTGAGAATCGACCCCAGCCCCAAGCAAAACACCCCCAGCATCGCGCTGGTCTGCGTGCCCAGCCGCCGGATCAGCTGCGCGTTGGCGATCCCCAAAAACGAGATGCAGGCGGTCGCCAGCGACCCCACGAACGCCAGCGTCGACGCCGCCGCCACCCGCTCCCCCACCAGCGCCGCCTGCAGCACCCCCCAGCAGTACGAGGTCCCGATCAACCACCACGTCAGCACCGCGCACGCCCCGATCACGAGCCACCCGCGTCCGCCGTCCGGGACCTCGGCGTCCGCCTGCGCGGACGCTTGCATGACCGCGTCGGTGACGGAGGTCGGGGCCGCGGGTGGGAGTTTGGGCGCGCGCGACTCCAGCTCGATTGCGGGGGCCGTCTGCCACTCGACGGCTGTTGAGGTGGAGGTTGTGGCCATTTTGCCGGGCTGGGGAGGATGGTGTTGTAGGTGTAGGTGTAGGCGTAGGTGTATGTGAGGGTTGTGGTGGTGGCTGCCTGAGGTATTGTGCGGCCACCGGATGAAGTTGATTTGAGTGTGGCAGCACTTCGGTGATGAGAAGAGAAACTCAGAGGTTAAAAGAATGTACAAAAAGTCTTGCGATGATTCACATCTCGTCGGTTACCCTCGGTGGCCCACCCGGAAACCTGGGTCTGGGGTGCAAAATTGGAAAAGTGGAGCATGTCACGACAAGGGCGCGGACGATGCATCAGAGGGTACGACTTGGAGACTGTTCTGGATTTTATTTTTGTTTTATTAGTCAGCCCAAAGACTGCTAAATGTTATAGTTTTCATATAAGAGAATAAAGGCTAATAGAAATACAAAGATAAAGAAGATGGTACAAATACACTGCTTAGCGCGATCGGGCACATGGTTGAAACAAAGTAGAAAGATTGTAATTCATCAGCAATTCATCAGCAAGGTTGCATGAGATTTTCAGTGTATATTCACAAACTGTGCATAATTACTCATTCGGGCATGTGAATCCACATATGCCTGCTCTGTGTACTTCGTTCACATGCAGGCATCCACCTCATTCTTAGTTGATCGCTACTCTGCAAAGGAGATATATGATAATAAGACTAGTCTGCACAGAGTAATTCCAGAGTCAACTCATGTCACTACCCCTCGACGCTAGGTGACATCACCCTCGCATTGGCCGTCTCGCCGACGATCAGCTCAACCCCTCTTCACCCCGCACGCCATTCACCCGGTTCATCCTTTACAGCCACTGTACTGCATCTACACATACTCCCCTCCCCATCCTGAAAGCACATACTCACACACTCACAACCACCAACAACAACACACCATGACCATCCCAACCTGGCAACAAAAAGTCCAAGCCAAGCAATTCGAAGCACTGGCCAAGATCCCCGCCGAATGGCGCCTCCCCGCCGCGCTCCTAGCCACCGCCTCCCCCATCTCCCCCGAGAATGTCCTCTCCATCCCGCGTGACAGCGGGCTCCTGACCTCGCGCGAGCTGGCCATCACCGAGACCGCAGACGCCACGACGCTCCTCGCCCAGCTGGCAGACGGGACCTACAGCGCCGTCGAAGTGACAACCGCCTTCAGCAAGCGCGCCGCCATCGCGCAGCAACTGACCAACTGCCTCACGGAGACGATGTTCGACCAAGCGCACGCCCGCGCACAGGAGCTAGACAGACACCTCGCAACAACCGGCCAGCCCGTCGGCCCGTTGCACGGGCTGCCCGTCAGCGTGAAGGACATGTTCCACGTGGCCGGGGTGGCCTCGACGCTGGGCTACGTCGCATTCCTGGACCGACCCGCCCAAACGGCCAACACGCCGCTGGTCGACGTGCTGCTCGCCGCCGGCGCCGTCATCTACGTCAAGACCAACGTCCCGCAGACGCTGATGACCGCCGACTCGCACAACAACGTCTTCGGGCGCGTGCTCAACCCGCACCGCCGCACGCTGACCGCCGGCGGCAGCTCGGGCGGCGAGGGCGCCCTCGTCGCCCTGCGCGGATCGCTGCTGGGCGTCGCCACCGACATCGCGGGCTCGATCCGCATCCCCGCGCACTGCTGCGGCTTGGTCGGGTTCAAGCCCTCGATGGGCCGTGTCCCGCACGCTGGGGTCATGAGTCCCGGCGTCGCGGGGTATCTTTCCGGGATTTCCCCGGTGATAGGGCCCATCTGTCACTCCGTCCGCGATGCGAATCTGTTTATGAAGACCGTCTGTGATGTGCCTCCTTATGACTTCGATGATACCGCGTTGGGCATACCGTGGGCTGTGTCCGACCAGAACGAAGGCGAGAAGCTGCGGATCGGGCTGTTCACGGCGCACCCGAGTCTGCCGCTGCACCCCAACATCGCGCGGAACCTTCATCGGGCGGCCGAGAAACTCGCTGCTGCGGGCCACGAGATTGTGGATATTACTACGCAGTTCCCGGACATGGAGTATGGGAATGAGATCGCCTTCGGGCTGTTCGGCCTCGACGCCGACCGGACCGCGATATCGCATCTGGATGCAGCGGGGGAGCCGCACGTTCCGTCCGTGGGGATTGTCAATGGATCCAACACGACAAACCCAGCGCCGACCCTGCGCGATCTGTTCGGGCTGACTGCCCGGAAGGCGGAGATCACTGCGCAGACGCGCCGGGTGTTCGTGGAGAAGAAGCTGGATGTGATCCTGGCGCCGGCGTACCAGAGCTGCGCCCTGCCGCATGATACGTATAGTCATGTGTGGTATACAGTGTTTTGGAATTTGGTGGATGTATGTTCTACTCTAACATCCTTGTCCTGGCACGAGGGGGATTGGGTGCTGATCGCGTACAGAGTCCGAGCTGCGTGCTGCCGTTCGGCAGGTCAGATGCTGCTGCGGATCGGGAATGGTTCAGACAGGATGCAGTATATCGACCCCCTTGTAAGTGTTCCATCCACCACTATGACACTCCAACTGATGGGATGCAGATCGGCCGGAGGAAGTAGAAGGTGCGCCTTGTCATGTGCAGTTGGTCGGACGGCGGCTGAGGGAGGAGGTGCTGGCACGACAGGCGGAGTTGGTAGAGGCGGTTCTGAGGAAGGACTAGGCGATTGCAGGCTGGCCAATGCATCGGGTGTGGATAGCTGTCGTAGCTTGCTATTCTCTGGTAGATTATCGATCAAACAACCTCATTCTCTTAGCCACAAGGAGAAACAGCACAATCAAACCCAAAATAACCCCAAGAATCCCATACCACCACGCCAGGCCTCCAGGCGACTTGCCAGGCACCATGACGTTCATCCCAAAAAGCCCTGTGATAAACTGCATCGGCACGATCGTCGCCGCCACGACGGTCAACCGACTCAGCGCCGTGGCGATTTCATTGCGCATGCGCCCGGAGTCGAAGTGCAGCTGCGACAGATACTTCGACTGCGACCGCGAGAGCATCTGCTCCGCCTGCTCCAGATTGGCCATCATGGTCAGCACGTGGTCGCGGATGTCACTGAGATACAGAGCCACCTGGGTCGACGTAGCCGCCAGCGCATCACAGTGGCGCGCAAAACACCGGATCACATCCGTCTTGTCATGCAGCAGCTGTCGGATCTGAATCACCTCCTTGCGCCACTTGTAGATCTGCTGCAAAGCCAGTCCAATCTCGTCTGGGCGGGTCACGGCGATGTGATCTTCCATCAGGTCGACACCGGTCTCCACGCGAGCGATGAACGGGGCAAAGCCGTCGACAATCGCGTCACTAGGAAAGTAGAGTTAGCGTTGAAGAAGGAAATACGGGGGGGAGGTCGTACATGATAGCATAGCAAATCCAATCGCTGGTCAACGCCAAATGGCTCCGGTGTTCCTTGATACGATTCCGGACGTGGTCAGCGTGCAAGCTGGTCCCGAAGTTGAAACTGAGCACCCCCTCCGGGAAGACGACAGCGTAAAGGTTGTGGGAGACGATGCACACGCCGTCGTCGGTCTTGCGGGAACTGGGGGGTCGCAATGAGAGGAAGTAGTAGGAGTCGAAGAGCTCGATCTTTTCGCGCGTCTCACGCTGCGTGATGTCCTCGACGGTCAGCGGGTGGAGACCGAAGCTCCGCGCGAGGGTCTCGATGTCCTCATCGGAGGCGGCGGTCACGTCCAGCCACCAGAGGCCATTATGGACGCCTGTCTCGAGCAGAGCTACCACTGGGTTGTAGATGCCACAAAGATCATCCAGGCTGGGTGCATGGACAAAGAAGTCCAGCTTGGTGGTGAAAAAGTTCAGGGAAGAGGATTCTTTCGCAGCCGGGGCGGCCGAGTCGTCCGCCGGGCGGAAATCCGGGGTCGACGCGGCCATGATCGGCCTCGTCAGCCTTTTAGTCGGGTGTGAAAGGTGAAGAGGTGAAAGACATCAACTGATGGTTGCTCCACGAAACGACCAGGGGCATTCTGACCGGACTGTCATCCCTTGAATGAAGTCAGGAAGATTGCAGACGGGAGAGGGAGAGGGAGAGAGAGAGTGGCAGTGTCGATGCCAAGAGGAGACTCTGAAGAGGAAAGCCAAGACTTTTCCGTGGTACCAAAAGCAATAAACAATGCAACAGTGCAAACATCCGGCCGAGCGCCTGAGGCATCAGTCCCGACCCGGCCCCGGTTTGGCGGGCCCGGCTTTTGCGGGGACGATGACTAGGTCGGTGACTGCTCTCGGCACTTGCTTTCTTCTCTCTTTACTATCTGCTTCGTACCATCACTTCAAAAGTGCTTGGTAACTCATACATGAGATTCCTACAACCTCGGTGTCTATACTAGTCACTTTTCTCTAATACTATCATTATTATACCATTTACAATCATCACAACGAAGATCTATCCATCTACTGCACCTGCATCAAGAACCAAGGTCGAGTACGTTATATGCTGTACACCCCGGCTAAGAGCTCATCCCCAGATCTCGTTTAGCCACCAGGTCCAGACACGACTTGTCCCTGCCTCTGTCTATCCCAATCTCCATCCGATTATCCGGGGACACAGAGGTCTGTGAGTCAGACATGTCATGGAACGACCCACCCCAGGGTCCATCGGTTACCCCGGACCCAACTGCGTGGACGAGGTATAACTACCTAGCTGCTCCCCGGCTGCTCTGCCCCTGCAACTCTGCCTCCGAACAACCACATCCCCCAATTCTTCAGTATGCCATTTAATATCATCATTGTCGGGGCCGGCCTCATTGGCCCCCGTCATGCCCAAACCGTCCAGGCCAACCCCAACACCAACCTCCTTGCCCTGGTGGACCCCTCCCCCAACGCTGTCCAGACGGCTGAGACCCTGCAGACGGCCTACTTCCCCTCCGTGGCCGCCCTCCTCGCCAGCCCCTCCACCCCACGCCCCGACGCAGCTATCGTCTGCACCCCCAACCACACGCATATCCCCATCGCCACCGACCTCCTGGCGCAGGGCATCCACGTGCTGCTGGAGAAGCCCATCAGCGACGACCCAGCAACGGCCCGCGCCCTCCTGTCAACCCTCACCCCGTCATCTCCGAAACTGCTCATCGGCCACCACCGCCGCTTCAACCCCTACATCACCGCCACGAAGCAGCTCCTTTCCAGCAACGCCCTGGGCCCGCTCATCGCGCTCAACGGCCTCTGGACCCTGTACAAGCCCGACAGCTACTTCGCCCCGCCAGGCGACTGGCGCCGCAGCACCACCACAGGCGGCGGGGTACTCTCCATCAACCTAATCCACGACATCGACCTGCTGCACTACCTCTTCGGCCCGATCACGCGGGTCTTCGCCGAGCAAACGCCCTCCACCCGGCCGTCGCCCCCGCACGACGCCGAAGAAGGCGCCGCGATCACTCTGCGGTTCGCTTCCGGTGTGGTAGGCACCTTCCTGGTGTGCGATGCCACGCCGGCGCCGTGGAGCTTCGAGGCCGGCACCGGCGAGAACCCGCTCATCTCGCAGGTTTCGGGGAGTGGTGGGGAAGGGTTCTACCGGATCTTCGGGCAGAAGGGGTCGCTGAGCGTGCCGGACATGCGGCTGTGGAGCTACGAGGGCCGCGCGCAGCGCAGCTGGAACGAGGAGTTGGCCGTGGAGCGGGCGGCGGTGGACACGACGCAGACGCCGTTTGCGCTGCAGCTGGCGCATTTTGTGGAGGTGTTGGAAGGGAAGGCTGAGCCGGTGTGTTCGGGGGCAGAGGCGTTGCGGGCGTTGGATGTAGTGGACGCGATCGGACGGGCGTTGCGGACGGGGCAGGTGGTGGATGTGGAGAATTAGCATCGGTCTGGGTACTTCAGTAACTGTAATGTAGTCATTCATAATGCCATTGTTTGATTACCCATCCAAGGACCCGTGTCCGCTCCTCTTCCGCAGAAAAACAATCATCCGTCATCACCCTTAGACTAGTGAGTATGAAGGATCGTGGCTCAGCAACTGCGCCATCACCTCCCATAACCACCTCATCCTCCCGCCATCCATCTCCACCACCATCCACAGCCCACAACCCAAAACCGCAAGAACAAATAGTAGTATGCGCCGGACCGATCCGACATGCAACCAACATGCTGCTTACAATTTACCCACACATACAACCCGTCAACCCAACAAACCTCCAACCCCATCGGTGATTGGCCAGGATCCCGTCCCCCTAAGCGCCACACCACGAGGCTGTGGCTGCGATACGAACTGTGGCTCGGTCAGGGCAGGCCAGGTCAGGCACAACGGACCCCTATAGTACCCTACCGCAAGGACTATATCCAGTATACGGAAGATCATAATGGCTGCCTGGTAATCCTTTCTTCCAAATCATTTTCTAGCGGGTTTCTATAGGGAGTTGACTAGCGAGGTTATGACGGTATACACTGCAGGGGAGAGTCAGGGACCCAGCGATCCCAACCAACCAACCATCAAGCGTCGAGGGATTGATCCTGTTGGTGGCTGCAGGCTACCGCTGGTGCAGCCTGTGCAGGGCTGGGGACAGGTTCTTCTTCCATCTTCACCCCAGCAATAAGACTACGAGAGAGGTAATGAGGAGGCTCTTCTGGTGTACTATGCAATGCAGGTGATGATCTCAGTGTGTATCCTGGTCATTCCCTCACCGCCCAAATAATCCAATAAGGCGAACTGTAAAAACAAAAACAAAAAAAAAGAAACAAAAAAAAGGCTGGTGATGTCATGTCATCTGGTTACTGCAATTGCCCGGGTGACTCGGGCTGGATGATAGGAGGGTCAGAAAGAGAGAGCCCGGGTGACCTGACCTCCACTTGCACTCATTCCCTAACTTACCTACTATAGTAAGTACTAACTACCTCTTTCGTAAGGCTGGGACTTACAGCAATATGCCGAGCACTCACCGACACTCCCACAATACGAAGCAGACATGAATGACTCCCCTCTAGCTTGGAATAGGTATGGTCTGGTGCCTACTATACCACACCTACTACACCTACACCTGAAGCTACTCCGACTCATCCTGCTCAGCCACACGAAGGCTGGAGAGGGAGACAAAAAGAGCCCGGGGCTCGAATCCGGTGATCTCCCGTCCCATGTGCGCTGGATGATGGGCCAGGAGATATAATGTCTTTGACTCTTCCCCTTGTTCATGGACGGGAACCCACTCTTTATCTCTTTTGTCTTTTGATTCCCTAACCACCTGAACCAACCTATGCCTCGTATGTTCTGCTCCTCCTTTCTCTATCAGGCGCGGTGAACCCATGACTCCTACCACATGTCGCCCGGGACTGAACAACAAGAGTTGCTTGCTTTCACGCTCACCCTCGTTGTCCTTGTCGCGACAACGCCGCTGTCTACACAAAGAGATCGGAGGCCACGCCTATTGTCCCCACTGCTCTACGATGCCGGTGCGCGTTCTTTGTCTGTGAGGGCAGGTTTCATCTGCGAGTCTGCCCCCGGCAAGTATATCTGGCCGCCCTGCGGCCCTTCGGCTAGAAACAATCAGCATCACAATTGAATCACCTACCTGTCATAGAGTAATTACCCACCCCAGTACACGGCAGGTCTGAGAGAGTCTCTGCTAATCATGTGCCATATCAGAGAAACCATCGAAGTCCTTCCGGGGGGGATTAGGCGCATCGAGCGCAAGGTGAAGCGCTGTCCCCGAGGCTGGATCAGACTCTGCCGCAAAGAAACGCGGACGAGTATCGAACGAGACTGCCGCGAGGTGCCAGTAAACACGAAGATGAGGGGCCTAGACGACCCGCACGGTATGCCGAGGCCACTCACCCGCAGACGTAGTGGAAGCTTCAAATTCCGGTTTCCCTTTCTCCGACGGCAGCCGGACTCGTCGGACGATGAACTGAGGCGGCCGCTGCCACCCCGGCGGCCGCGCGGCCGGCCCTGGCAACGCACGCCCGTCGTGGTCGACCCTCCCCGTCGCCCTGAGCCCCAGCTGGTGTCGCCCATGCGACCCAAGACTTCGTACAGATCGACGCCCTCGCGATCACCACCGGCGATTCACTTTGCCGCCCCACGTCCAGGGGCGCGAGCTCTGCGCGAGGAACGCATATTTCGAGGGCGGCCTCGACCCGCCACACCGTCACCAGTGGGACTTCCCTCGATCCCTCCCAAACGGAGACGGCTGACACGAGCGTTCAAGCAGATCTTCGTCACTCAACCCAGACGACCCACATCTCCAATCACGATGGATCCAGAAGTGGTACATCGCCCGAGCTCTTCGCAGAAGAATCGTCTGACGCGTGCAATCAAACAGGTATTCCGGCCTCGTTCTCGCTCTCAACCCGCCCGACCGACAGTGGAGTTGGAGATCCGCCAACCCCGGTCTCAAGCCGCCCGGGTGATTTCACCCGTTCCACCCATCCCCCCGCGACGGACCCGGCCCCCGCGCCCGCGCTCCCCCGTGGCGGAGCGGGAGCCCGTCCGCAAGACGCGCTCCACGCCAGGGATGCCGCGACTCCGGACTGCTTCTCCGCCCCAGAGCAGTCGAAGCATGACCCCGACACGCCATGTCCACTTCGCCGAGAATCTGGAGCAGCTCCCGCCCAGCTCGAGCGAGAACAGCCCGATGGAGGACACGACGACAGCCAGTTCCGGCGAGGACAGCCCCACGCGCCCGACCATGACGCGCCCTCCACCCAGCAGAATCCCCATCCGCCCGATGAACCGCCGCAGTCGCTCCTTGGACACCCACGCCAGCCGTGGGCGCATGGCACCCAGAGATCCGGCCCGTCCTCGCACGGCCTCGCCTTATCCCACGCGTCTGGACTCACGGGCTCGACCCACGCCATCGACGTCCCGATCGCACACGCTGCAGCAGGCACGACCGCGCATTATTCAGGAGGGGAGGCGGGATCTGAGGGAGCGAGGATCCCGGTTATTGGAGAGTTCGTTCGCGCGTCGGAGCGACGAGGCTGTGAGGAGTCCGCGCATGGTGCAGCGACGGGCCCGACCGCGCACGCGCGCTTCGATGACGGATTGTTGGCCGATGTTTCCGAGCGATGAGCGGATTGCGGACGAGGACGATCGGAGTGGAGGGTCGAGGTTGGGACGATGGCGGTAGTTGGCTTTGCGTGTTGGCTTTGCAGGTGTTGGTGCTTTGTGGGACGTTTTCATATGTCTTTCGGTCTTTCGTTCAGTCATCTGTGTTGTGGTTTTCCTATGTTTGAAGTTTTGGGAGGAATTCGGAGGAAAGGCCGACCCCGCATGTGACCCCGCACGTGATGGGGTTACCTCGGCAGCGGCTCAGCGGCTACAGGCGGGCGGAGGCGGACTTCATTCATTTAATATCTGGATATACCGGAGGAGTTACCCTCATCCCCTCCTTACTCTGGACTTGGACTTACACTTACACTCACTCTAATCACTCTCCTACATCAATCATAATACTCTTGTCACAAATCTATCTTTTCTCTCTCGCTTGTAATCCATCCGCCCTGTCATCATGCAGCGCACCACTCGTGCGATGCGGGCCCTCCCCGCACGGCCTCAGTTCCAGCGCGCTTTCCACACCACCCGGCCCTCTCAGATCGAAGAAGCCTATATTCTGAGTGCAGCTCGCACGCCCACTGCAAAGGTGAGCTCTTATTCCTACATCTCTGCATCTTATCTGCCCACTTGTACAATCCTCAGTCACCAGCCACCCTTGACGATCATGGGGAGACCCCCATACCCCCCTCTTTACCAGCACTACCCCACCCCACTCCATCTAAGCTCAAGCACATGGGGGGGGAACCCCCCAATCCCCCCCTTTTTTTCCATTCTTGCACCACTAACCGAGGCTGAACCAGTTCAACGGCCCCTTCGCCACCGTCTCCGCCCCCCACCTCGGTGCAACCGCCATCCGCGCCGCCATCCACAAATCGGGGGTCCCCATCCCCGAATTCACCGACCTCTACATGGGCAACGTCCTGTCCGCCAACATGGGGCAGTCGCCCGCGCGCCAAGCAGCCATCTTCGCCGACCTCCCGCCGTCCCTCGACTGCACAACGATCAACAAGGTGTGCGCCTCGGGCCTGAAAGCCGTGGCACTGGCCGCCCAGAACATCCAGCTGGGGCTGTCCCGCGCGCAGATCGCCGGCGGGATGGAGAACATGTCGCGGGTGCCGTACTACCTGCCGCGGAGCGCGCAGCTGCCGCCCTTCGGCGAAATCAAACTGGAGGACGGGCTGATCAAGGACGGGCTGTGGGACGTGTACAACCAGATCCACATGGGGATCTGCGCGGAGACGACGGCCAAGAAGCACGGGGTCAGCCGCGAGGCGCAGGACGACTATGCGATCCGCAGCTACGAGCGCGCGCAGGCCGCGTGGCAGTCCGGCCGGTTCGCGGCGGAGGTCGTCCCCGTCACGGTCCGGGACAAGAGAGGCAAGGAGACGGTCGTCGACACGGACGAGGGCTTCGAGAACCTGAGGGCGGACAAGCTGCGCGCGCTGAAGCCGGCCTTCCTGCGCGACGGCTCGGGCACCGTCACCGCCGGCAACGCCAGTACCATGAACGACGGCGCGTCCGCGCTGGTCCTCGGCTCCAGGGACCTGGCCAGGGAGTATGCCGGCGATGGCCGCAACCCCGTGCTGGCGCGCGTGGTCGCCGCCGCGGATGCCGCGGTCGATCCCGTGGATTTCCCGGTCGCGCCGGCCAAGGCCGTGCCCATTGCGCTGCGGCGCGCGGGCATCTCCAAGGAGCAGGTGGCGGTGTGGGAGTTCAATGAGGCGTTCGCCGCCGTTATCAAGGCGAATGAGAAGGTACGTTCACGTTTACGCTCGCTACCTGGCGCGGGAGGCGCTATCGTGGTGAGATTTTCAAGGAACCGGACTTTGCTAACGCAATCTACGTAGATCCTCGGCCTCGAGAACGCCCGCGTCAACCCCCTCGGCGGCGCCATCTCGCTCGGCCACGCGCTGGGCAGCTCCGGGTCGCGCATCCTGGTCACCCTGCTGCACCAGCTGCAGCCGGGCGAGTACGGCGTCGCCGCGATTTGCAATGGGGGCGGTGCGGCGACGGCGATGGTGGTGCAGCGCGTTGAGCGCGTGGAGTAGGTACTGTAGCTGTGTACTGTACAAGATGCAATGGTATGGTCTGACAGCAAGACTCGATTCACAATAAGTGTCGCGGCTGGGGTGTTGACGTACATGGGCGTTGAGCCCTACGACGAACCAGCTTCGCTTCGTGTACACTCCTGTTGAAAAGAGACGAAACTCGGGATAAATGCTAGCTTCACGTGGAAATGTGGTGGATGTAGTTCGCTTGCCGTCAGTGATGGGGTTGTAGACGAATTGTGGAAGGGGGGATGGGGCATGGGGGATGGGGCATGGGGGATGGGGCATGGGGCATGAGGCATGGGAGATGTAGCCGTGGAGCTCTGCTTAAGGATTGATTCTCATGTACAGGTATATGTGCTGCATTTCGTCTTGTAGAGGCAGTAACTATGGACCTTAGACTGAGACATGCCTACGTAGATGACCTACCGACCTATTTCCTATGGGAGCCGGTGGTAAGAACCAGAGGCTAAAGGCCAGCCACTCGAGACTCCAATGCAAATAATCCCGCAAGTGACAAGATAGTAAAGAATTCTGTATCAGTTCAAAAACCACACCACCTCACCACAAGATCCATTCCTAAGACCAAGACCGACTGAATCACACCTTAGCCGTCACATCCGCCCGCTCCTCGTGCGTCGCGGTCCCGAAATGCTCGTCCGCGTGCTCCTGCTTCTCACTGACGACCAGATCGCGCTGCTCGGCGTCGCGGTTCCCATACCGGCCGATCTTGTACCACGGCAACTCAAACAGGCGATCCATGCTCTCCAGACTGCGGCCCGCCGTCTCGGGGACGCTGAACCACACCCACAGCCCGCCGAGCACGGTGACAGCAGCGAAAAACCAGAAGGTGCCTTTGGGGGTGATGCCGCCGGCAGGGGTGCCGAGCAGCATGTTGGGCACGGCGCGCGAGTTGCCGTACTGATTCACAAAGTGTAGGGTCATGGCGGCCGAGGTGGCGAGGGCGCGGATGCGCAGCGGGAACAGCTCCGCCGTCAGCAGGTACTGCATCGAGTTCCAGCCCAGGGCCCAGCCGACGCCCGAGATGTAAATCATGGCGATCGCGCCGCGGCTGATCCCCTTTTTCGAGTCCGGGAGGACGAAGGCGTCGTCGATGCCCATTTGGGGCACGTCGGTCAGGAACGCCGCGATGTAGACCATGGCGATGCCCTGGAGGGTGATGCCGAGCAGCAGGGCGCGTTTGCGACCGATTACGTCCACGAGGAAGAGTGCGCAGATGATGGCGGCCACGAGCTTGACGATGCCAAAGACGGCGGTCACGAGAAGCGATTCGTTGGAGCCGGTGATCCCGAGGAGTTTGAAGAGATCCGGCGCGTACAGTGTGATCGAGCCCGCGCCGGACCACTGCGACAGAAGCTGGGCCATAGCGGCTAGGTAGAGGCGGTATAGGTTGCTCGGGATGAGGAAGGCCTCTTTGAGGATGCCAAGCCAGCCGGCGCCCATGGTGGCTTCCAGCTCGGCCTGGTGGGCTTGTTGGATGGCGGTGATCTCTCGCACGACATACTCGTGGTCTTGTGGGAGGTTGCGGATGCGCGAGAGGTTACGCAGGGCTTGCTCGGGTTTGCCTTTCTTGATCAGGAATCGGGGGGATTCGTATTGGAGGAACGAGAGGATGATGATCAGACCGGCGAAGATGATGTGTAAACTGGTGGGGATTTCCTACGACCAATCAGTTTCATCGCAGTCATAGAAAGCGGGTGCAGTGGTGGCATACCCATCGTTTGTGGGTGTTGTCTCCCAGGTTCACTTGGCAGCCGTAGTTGGTGAAGTAGGCGAGCACAATGCCGAGATAGACGAATCCGGTAAAGACACAGGTACACAAGCCTCGGATAGATGCAGGCGCCTCCAACGGGTTAGTCGGGTTTGCAATCCATGTTCTGGCCATCACTCACAATCTCAGCCAGGTAAACGGGTCCAACCACGACCGTTTGCCCTACGCCCAACCCGGCCACAAAGCGACCGGCATAGATCGCACCCAGGTTGCCATTGGCTCCCATAAAGATGGCAATGCCGATGATCCATAAGACACACAGTTGACGAGTAGCCCAAATACGTCCAATGCGGTCACAAACGAGGAAAGCGCTGAACAGCAGAGCATATGAGCGATGAACCAATGCGTTGGTCGGGCCAGAAGACTTACAAAAGAGCACCACCGACCGACCCAATCTGCACCATAGCGGAGACATTCGCCTTGATGTTGGTCTGTTCGACCGCGCTATATGAGCTGTAATGGATGGTGCGTTTGAAGTCGGCGGAGTTGAAAGCGCCCGAGATCAACCCCTCGTCCACCCCGCGAGCAGCGCCCATCAGGCCAAAGGAGAGAACGGCGAACCATAGCTTCCAATTGAAGATCTCCTTTGGGTCGCCGAGGTTCCTCAGACGGAAGATATTGACCGGTTTCTTGGAGCCAGCCATCGTAGGGCACACAGGCGCAATCAGCGAGAGTACTGTTTGAACAGAAAGGTATGATGGAAGTGGAAGTGGAAACATGGGAGTGCGTCTTGTTGCGTTTATATAGGGTCAAAAAGCGGATGCACCCCGAGAGAGCGATGAGCGTGTACCACACCAACCACGGTAGTGTGGGGTGCATCGGAATGAGCGAGAAGTTTGTGAATGAGAGGCACCAATCATCGTGATCGTCTGACCAACTTGTCTTGTGAATGCATGGGCTAGAGGAGGAAACGCAGGTTGCCGAGCGTGTAATCCGGCATGTCCCCTGTCGGCCGTCCGAGTTTTTACGAGGAGCTTATCAATTGGAATTCACTGGAACGCCCTGCTTGACTGGCGGACACAGACTCCCCCACGTTCTAGCAAAGGGACCGTGGGGCCGCTGCGAGGTCTTTTCCCCGGATGGAGAGGGTTGCATCCTTCGACAGGCGGGGAAATGGCATGCGTTGGCTTGTCTAAGGGAGGTTCGGTCAACTTCCGCGCACGAACTCCGAGCAAATGAGGGTGTATGGGACGGCACAAACCCGGGGAAGACCCGCCATGACCGGGGAAATTGTGGGGAAACCGTGGGACTGGGGGCGGGTCTCGCGAGATGGACTGCGTTAATGCGGACAGCTCACCAAAATTCCACCGACGCAGTAGTCTTTGATGTCACCTCGTGGTACGGAGTAGCGATCAGCAACGCATTGCTCTGTTTGGGGTTAGTTGAGTGGTCCCTCGACAAAG